ATTTTGCTCATCTTCTTATGGAATGGCTCTTTCTTGTTTCAATTTGCAGTTTTGTAGTGTCAAATCTAATTGTTTTTGCTGTAAATCTTATCTTTTTGCACTTCCTAGTTATTTGTATCTCTCCCAATAAGTTCTTGTGATTCATTAATTGATCATCCATAAGAGATGGATTGCTTGTAAACACCTGAGATTGTAAATGTCCATTTCAACACTGTTTTGCTACATCTCATGAGTAATGAAGGTCTAGTTTTTAACTGTAATTCCTTCAGCGCCACAAGGGTCATGCACTAGCATCTATTCCTACAAGAAGGTTTTTGATTCCTGTTTTCACCACTCTTGTGATGCATTTTTATTTTTGTAGCATGTTTGTTAACTTCATGTTGATGAAAATTTATTATTTTCACCCTGTTGTGGACTGTGCTCACTGGTTCTGTAAGTTAGGGAATATATAATGAAAGTGTAGCAGGACTGATATGTTCAGATACGCAGACAAAGTGCTGTATGTTTTTATGCATATGGATCAAAGATGGACTCCCAGTGAAAGAATTGAATACATCCTAACAGTAAGATGATGGACTCTCTGACAATGTCCATGCCTACATTGTCGGGAAACACTTCAATAACAGCATGATGGACTTGTGACTGTTCATGAAGGACATCCATTGTAAAACTAGAGGAGAAATTAAGGGGGACGAAGGGAGGGACCAGGGGAAGGGCACGGGCAACCCTAGAGCCTATAGAACCATACCGTAAAACCAAAAAATATTTTTAAATGCAAAAAAAAAAAAAGACTTTTGAAAGATCAATATAAACAAAAATAAAATATGCAGAGGGTCCTCCATTTCCATAGATTCTTTTGTTGTTTTTCTTGTTGCTAAAGATTGATTTTACTTATTTGAAAGGCAGAGTGACACAGAGAAAGAGAGATCTTATATTTGCAGGTTCACTCTACAAATGGCCACAATGGCCAGGGTTGGGCCAGGCCAAGGCCAAGACTCTGAACCTCCATCTGGGTCTTCCACATGCTGGCAGGGCCCCAATTGCTTCGGTCATCTTCCATTGCTTTCCTAAGCGCATTAGCAAGGGATTTGGATCTGAGGCAGAGCAACCAGAAATTGAACCAGACCTCCAAAAACGGATGTCACATTGCAAGTAGCAGCTTAACCTGATTCACCACAACCCAGCCATTTTACAGAGGCAATGCCATCACAGATTTGACCAACTTGAATATCCAAAACATTCCCCGAGTTCAACCACATCTCAGCTGCATCTCATGCTCTGTTTAGGTGGCTTTGCTGCTTCACTAAACAACATTCTGTAGAACTGTAGCTCTTTAAAAGAGTTTCTATGGAGATTTGTACTTTCCCTATGGAACAGCTATGTTGGGAATTCTTTGTCTTCTTCCTCCCACTACCCAATCATCTCACTACATTCTCCGGAGAAAGCAGTTTGTTTTCTCATTTTCATTATAACACATGATCTCAGTGTAGCACATGTGCAATTTTTTTTCAAAGATGGTTTCTGTCTGAACAATTAGCTTTAAATCCCTGTTTGTGCCATTTACTCACCTAGATCCTTAAACTTAGCTATGTTTACATGATTTACACACTTAAAAAAACACTAACCAATAGATGTTTTCTTAGTTACTTTAGGATTTAAAAATATAAAGTGCTTTTTTCCCCAACCATATTCCTGATTTAAGAAAAACTGAATGATTCTCAGTGGTTTAAAATGTGTTAGGAATAAGCATGCCTTAAAAGATGTTTTCTATCTCTGAATTCTGTGACATTAGATATTTAATATTTGGAGGACACTAAGTATTGAGAACAAAATTGTGGGTTGAGAGGGGTGGCTGAGCACAATGCAAAATGGGAAGAACTAACATTTTAAGCACTGTAAGCACTGAAACACTTTTTCTTCTGCCTGCTACTTGCAAAAGCTCTTTGATAAGAACTTTAATGAATGTCAGTTTACTTTATTTGCTTATTTATTTATTTGAAAGGCAAAGTTACAGAGAGAGGAGGAAAGGGAATCTCGCGCCCACTGGTTCACTTTCCAATGGTCACAACACACATCTGTAGCTATTTTAAACACACAGATGTTTTCCTTCTTGTCACTGTGCCCTCAACAGTACAATACAACAACTATTTATGAAGCATTTTCATTGTATCAGATATTATACGTTGTCTAGAGATTATTTAAGAGACACAGGAAGATGTGCATTGGTCAAATACTACAAATACTACATACGAATACTACTTCATTTTACACAAGGAACAGATTTGTGTGTCTACAGGAAGTCCTGGAACCAATTCACCAAAGATACTGAAGGACAAACAAAGCACTAATGAATGAAATAAACTATCTAAATAATTAGATATATTGTATTCACAGATTAGAAAATCCAATATAGTAAAGATGTCAGTTCTCCCCAAATAGAACCATAAATGTAATTCAATTCAAATAAAACTCCCAGCAGGGCATTTTAGATAAGAGTTATGCATCAGTATTACATTTTTTAAATTTGATGGGCCCAGTGCGGTGGTGCAGTGGTGCAGTGCTGCAGTGGCTAAATCCTGGCCTTGCACATGCCAGGATTTCATATGGGCTCCAGTTCATATCCTGGCTGCTCCACTTCCCATCCAACTCTCTGCTTGTGGCCTGGGAGAGCAGGAAAGGATGCCCAAAGCCTTGGGACCCTGCACTCATGTGGGAGATCCAGAAGAAGCTCCTGGCTCCCTACTTCTGATTGGTTCATCTCTGGCTGTTGTGGACTTGAGGAGTGAAGCAACAAAAGGAAGAAATTTGTGTCTGTAAATCTATCTTTCCAATAAAATAAAACTTTTAAAAATTCTTAAATTTGATAGTAGCCCTGTAGTTGTTTTAAAGCAAGAGAATATTTTTATTTATGGAAACTACACACTAAGGTGTTTAGCACTAAATGATTACACTCACTGCAATGTACTCCAAAGTACAACCACGTATGTATATACTTATATTTTTATATTTAGAGACAATCAAATGGAAAATGTGAACAATTAATAGGTCTAGGTGAAGGTTATATGGGATTCTATTAAAATATTCCTGCAAACTTTCTGCTCTTTTTCAAAACAAAAAAAAAGTTTAATTTCAAAAACTCCTGATGGCTTAGACAAACCAATTAAAAATATATAGAAAAACAAAAGCTCCACAGTAACTGAAATAATTTTGACAAAAAATAAAGTTGGTAAGATCACAATATCTGATTTTAGTACTTAATAAAGACTGCTATAATCAAAAGAGTGTTATATTGATAAAGGAGTAGACACAGAATCCTGGAACAAAATAAAGAAACAGACTCACACAAATAAGGCCATTGATTTTTGACAAATACACGAAATCAATTCAGTGAAGGAAGACAATTATTTTCAATAACATTATTAGAACAACTAGATATCCATATGTAACAAAACTTCACATCATATTCAAAAACTAGCTTAAAATAATACTAACAAGGGGCTGGCACAGAAGCCTAGTGGTTAAAGTCCTTGCCTTACATGCGCCAGGATCCCACATGGGCACCAGTTTATGTCCAGGTTGCTCCACTTCTCATCCAGCTCCCTGCCTGTGGTCTGGGAAAGTGGTAGAGGATGGCCCAAAGCCTTGGGACATTGTACCTCTGTGGGAGACTCAGAATGGCTCGGTCTGCTAATCCTTCATTTGCAAGCACTGGCATCCCATATGTCATGGAATTGTGTCCTGGCTGCCCCACTTCCCATCCAACTCCTTACTTGTGGCCTGGAGAAACAGCTGAGGGACCCTACAGACCATGTGGGAGACCCTGAAGAAGCTTCAGGCTCCTAGCTTCTGGTCGTCTCAGCTCGGGCTGTTACGGTCATTCATTGGAGTTATTTGGGAAGTAGAGCAGCTAGGATACGAACTGGCACCCATATGGGATGCTGGTATTGCAGGCAGAGGATTTGCCAGTTGAGCCATTGTGCTAACCCCCACTGCACCTCCCCAACCCAGGCCAGTTTTTTGGCCAGAAAGTCAGCCAAAGGTTTCTTCTGCTTCCTAACATGGAGATACTTAAAATTATTTTTTTGAGGGGGGCGGTGGAAGAGAGAGGAGAAAGAGAGAGTGCGCTTCAGCTAATTGATTCACTCCTGAAATGCCCACATTGGCTAGAAATGAGCTAAGCAAGGCTGAGAATCAGAAACTCAACCCAGGCTTCCTGCCTTGGTGGCAGGGACCCAAACACTTGAGCCATCATCTGCTGCCTTCCAGAGTCTGCACTGGCAGTGCCCATTCATTCTTCTCTTCTGCTGTTTTCATATCTCCAAACAAACCTGCTAACAGGTAAACTTTTGAGTTTCTTCCCTTTCTCTGTAACGTTCAGCTACTATGATGTGACACCTGGTCAAAGAAGTCCTGCCCTTGGCTAGATTCTCCCTTCTTCACAATATGTGTATTCAGCCCATCATTCACATGAATACAGATTTTTTTTTAATGAAATTCAATTCCCACTGCTGTTAAGATCTACCACGTTTGCATTTCACAGCTTGATATGTCTCTCTCTGCTGCCTTCTGAAAAAAGGCGAAATACTGTGACATTTGGAATGGAACAAAGGAGAACACAGGAAAGCAGCTTTCTAACCTGTGTTTTCTTCCCATCATCAAACAGCCTGCACACTGCAGGGAGCCACTCTCTGTGGGAACGCACAGATTTAACAGCTTGATAACAGAGAGTCAAGCTTTTAGAAACAATTTTCCAACCTTTGGCCATCCTTTGACCTTGGCTGAGGATCTGCTCTGAAAGCCTCAGGGTTGTGCTGTTCCCTCCGTTAAGATCTCACTCTCTCAGGGAACCCACATCCAAGGACCCAGAGGTCAGCCTGGAATCCAGCAGAGCTAGGTCAGAGTGAGAGTAAGAGGGCAAGTTTAGGCCTGAGGGAGGGGTGATGGGAGCTGTGCTAAAGCACAGAAGGAACTGAAGGCATCATCCCTTTGTGTCTCCTCAGGGGCTATTCCCATTCTGTTCATCCCCTACTTTCTGATGTTCTCTAAGTTCTGGTCCGTGGCTGTGTTCTCATTGGCCTGGCTCATCTATGATTGGAACACCCACAGTCAAGGTAAGAGATGGAGCAGCATGGTCAGCTGAGGATAGTCTCATAGGAAGAAAGAGGTGGAGAGAGAGAAAAAAGGAGAGAAAGAGGGAAAGGAGGAGGAGCCAAGAGGGGAGGGGTGGAACGGAGAGGAAAGAGCAAATAACAGGAACACAGGTCTTTGCCACGCTGCGCAGGAACAATTAAGAGGGTGAGGTTTCAGCTAAGTGCTCTCGGCTTCAGGTTTATTTCCCTAGCACCCTAGCACTCGTTGGCTCCCAAGGAGGTAGCATTTTGAGGCTGGACCTGATGAAAGTCCCTACTGCTTATAGGTGTGAGAGGCCCCTCCAGTGATGTGAGAATGGCAGGTAACACTCTCCATCTCTGGGAGACCCAGAGGAGCTAAATACCCCACCTGCTCTTTCCTTCCTTTCTCCACCCACAGGTGGTAGACGTTCAGCTTGGGTACGGAACTGGACCCTCTGGAAGTACTTCCGAAATTACTTCCCTGTAAAGGTGACTGCCCTTCTCTGGGTGCCCTCAGACGCTGTTATCCAGACTCTCACTCCTTTCTCAGCTCCTTGTTTTCAAAGACTTTGGTGGGCAGCAATAAAGGTCAACATCCTGAGGAATAATACACAGCAGGATGGGCAGGAGGGGAGGCAGGTGAATAGCGGCCATTCCTGCAGTAGCAAACGTATGTCAACCTCCCTATTAGCATGACTTCTTTGCCAATCTGATGGTAGTGATGAAATCCAACTAAACTGGGATTTGGGGCTGCCAATAGGATACTCAGTCTCCATGACTTCTCTTCCTTCTTGTTAGTCAATATTCTCACTCAATCTCCCTCTAACAGCTTGTGAAGACTCATGACCTTTCTCCCAGACACAACTACATCATTGCCAACCACCCCCATGGGATTGTCTCTTATGGTGCCTTCATCAACTTTGCCACTGAGGCCACTGGCTTTGCTAAGATGTTCCCATCCATCAATCCCTCTCTAGCAACATTGGAAGGGATTTTCTGGATTCCTATTGTGCGAGATTATGTGATGTCAATGGGTGAGTATACAGAATCATTCCACTTTCCTAGCCTACCTCAGGGCTCCAACCCTAAAAAGCTCTGACAGTGCCTGGCCTATGCTGGAAGAGGATTTGGCAGAAAATGAGTCTGGAATACACTCCACCAATAACAAGTAGGGTGGCCAAGCATCAGATTCTGTCCAAGTTCCTTGGCTGGGAGTATGCAAAATGCATGACTTGCCAGAATTCCTTTCCGAGGGCGAACCAGAAGGCTGGAGTTCAGGATCCACAGAGGATGAAGAACAAGTATTAAACACAAATGCAGGGAGAATCAATCATGAATGGGGCAGCTCAGATGAACTTCACCAGAATCCTTGCTGGAGTACCAGTTGGATTCTTTTGGCAAGTTATTTGTACAGCAACTTTCATCCTAGGGTGTCAAAGACATTTTATTGTTTTTTTTAAGGCTTATTTATTTTTAGGGTTCGGTGCAATTACTCAGTGGCTGAATCCTCACCTTGCATGCACCTGGATCCCATATGGGTGCCAGTTCTTGTCCTTGCTGCTCCACTTCCCTTTCAGCTCCCTGCCTGAAGCCTGAGAAAGCAGTGAAGGATGGCCCAAAGGCTTAGGATCCTGTACCCACATGGGAGGCCCAGGAGAAGCTCCTGGCTTCAGATTCGTTCAGCTCTGGCCATTGAGGGTGCTTGGGAAGGGTGAACAAGTAGACAGGCTACAAACATGGAACTGGATGAGAAGTAGAACAGCCAGGACATGAACTGATGCCCATATGGGACCCTGGTGCTTACAGGAGAGGATTAACCAATTGAACCATTGCACTAAGCCCATCAAAGACATATTAACATCTCTCATACTAGCTAGTACATTCCTAGCCCATGTTCTCCACTCCTTAAGAAAAACTTGCATTCTTACATTGGATACCAAGGGATAAAAGATATGCATACATCAGAATCCAAGATAACTTTCCCCTGCCAAGTTCTCAATTATGGTATTGTGACAAATGTCCTCCCATTTAGATATGTATTCATTCTTCTGCAGAACAAAAAACCATCTGAAGCTCAACACAAATGTAAGATACATTTGTCTGGGGTCAAGGGCAAGTGGGACCACTGGAGTACCACAGGATGTTTATGTTAACCTCTCTGGAGCACAGGTCTCTTTCAATGGCTAGAGCCTGGAAGCAATTTCTGCCACCCCTATAGAAAAGAGAAAGTGAGTACAGGGCAAAGATGAGAGAGAGGGGTGATGAAAAACACTGTGACTACTGTTGAACATCAAGTTGTCATCTATATGCGATCATTCATCTACATTTCAATTCGGCTTGGGTAGATTCCTTTGTTGGCTTTCTCAGAAGAAATTCCAACCAATGGCTCCTGCTTGGCAGCTTGTTCTGAGGAGGAAGTGGGCTGATCAGTTAGCCCTGATGAGTCCTGGAGGGAAGATTCTGGAGAGCATCCAATGCTGTCAGCCTTGGCTGGGTAAAAGACAACCGGTTAATTGTAGAGAGGGAAGGTGTGGCCTTCAATGCTATTGATCTAGAAGTTAGTATGGTGGGTGTGGATGCAAGCAGAGAAGCTGCAGTACAGCATCATCTCCATCTCCTTGGAGTAAATGAAATTCCTAAATCCCCAGTGCAAGCAGCTAGGCAGGGGTTAATCCAGTACATGGAAGACGAAGAGAAGATAGAAACAGCAAAAGTCAAGAAACAAAAGTTTTCTCAAATAGAAAGAGCTGGGGGGACCCTTCATCTCATGCTCAGGGGCCAAGTATCTGCTGCCACTTAACTTTTTTGTTTTACAGGTTTGTGCCCAGTAAGCAAGTCAGCCTTGAATTACCTGTTGACCCAAAAAGGTTCAGGTAATGCCGTGATTATTGTGGTGGGTGGAGCTACAGAAGCCCTCTTGAGCCAACCCAGAACCCCCATCATCTTCCTCAAAGAGCGGAAAGGTTTTGTGAAGTTGGCACTGAAGACTGGGTGAGTGTCCCTAGGTTCTGGAGCTCTGTTGTCTGTGTGTCATAGGTTGAGGGGTCCCCCCTTCACTCTGATGGCTTCTCTCTATCCCTCCACACTGTGCCTTGCCGTGTCTGAGCCTGCACACTTACTGCCATGGATACTTTTCTCATTTGAAATTGAAGAAGGACAGCAAAAGACCTTTTATGTTCTGCCCATTAGCCTAATAGGCTGAGACAGTGGGATTTCCCTCAGTATCAACCTGCTGAGAATCTGCCCAGAGAGGAAGGCACTGGTCTGGATGCCCTGAGAACTGCAAGGACCATACACCTTGATTTGATAACAGAGTGCATTTACTCAGAGTTTATTGAATCCCTGTTGTGTCTCAGGCACAGAGCTAGGCATTGAAGATATGAACATAAATAAGATCTGGTCCTTGTGGATTTTAGGTCCCATGTAGAATACATATATTGCATATACACTTACAAAATATAGGAGCTGGCATTGTGGCTCAGCAGGTTAAAATAACACTTACGGTATCAGCAACGCATATCAGAGCACTGGTTCAAGTACTTCTGATCCAGCTCCCTAGTGATGCACCTGGGAAGGCAGCAAAGGATGCTTCAGGTGTTTGGTGCCCTGCCACCCATATAGGAGACTTGGATGAAGTTTCTGGTTGCTGATTTTGGCCTGATCTAGACCTGGCTTCAATATGGGATGCCATAGATGTCACAGATGGCTGCTTAGCCTGATGTATCACAATGCCAGATTTGAGGACAATTTTGTTCATTTAAAACATTATGTTTCCTGGACCTGAAATAATGCAGATACTTAGAGCTTTTTTTTTTTTAAGATTTATTTATTTATTGGAAAGTCAGATATACAGAGAGGAGGAGAGACAGAGAGGAAGATCTTCCGTCCAATGATTCACTCCCCAAGTGAGCGCAACAGCCAGTGCTATGCCAATCCAAAGCCAGGATCCAGGAACTTCTTCCGGATATCCCACATGGGTGCAGGATCCCAAAGTTTTGGGCCATCCTCGACTGCTTTCCCAGGCCACAAGCAGGGAGCTGGATGGGAAGTGGAACTGCCGGGATTAGAACCGGCGCCCATATGGGATCCTGGGGCGTTCAAGGTGAGGACTTTAGCAGCTAGGCCACACCACCGGGCCCAGATACTTAGAACTTAATAGATACTTGTTGAATGAATAAAGTGTTGTACAGATATATGTACAAAGTACTACTGAAGCACTAATTTCTGTAAAGACACTGACCTAGAGCACAAGTTTCTTAGGTGGGTGCATCTGAGTTATGATTTGAAGTATTAGGAGGTGTTGCCTGCCAGACCAAAAGGGAGAAAGAGGCCAGGCATCCAATGAAGACCTACAACATGGCAGGTGCTATGCCAGGCCCTAGAGATTCAATGATGAATCCAAGCTGTGCACTGAGGGAATCAAGGGAGGGAATGCTGTCACACAGGGCTGGGGTAGTGTTCACAAGGGACAAAGATGGGCCCTGAATGAGGGGCACCTAGTCCACAGTGGGGACACCAGAGGGAATCAAATGCAGTTTGTTCAAGGGGATGACACCAAAACTTTAACATCAGTGTGTTCAAAGACACAACTGAATTGGCTACTTAAAGACAGAAGGAAGGCACCTCAGGTACAGTGAGCGGAGGGTGTGAAGACACAAAGAGAAACTTGACATACTCCAAATGGCTAAACAGTCAGGGAGAGAAGAGTGAGGGGAGAGGAAGCAGGCCCAGTAGGAAGGGGTAGTATATAAAAGCCCTGCTCAGCCATGTGGTGTAAAATGAGGAGCTTGGGAAGCGTTTCCAAGTCAGGAATGATGTGGCCAGCTAGGAGGCTTAGCAGAGTGGGTCACTCCATGGTTGCATGTAGTAAAGGTGGTTAGCGCTCCTGAAATTCCTTTATTCCCATCTCAGGACAAAGCACAGCAGGTGCCCTCAGAAAGTTCAGTTGGGAGGATGGGGCATATAGATGGGTCATTAGGCTGCAGATGTTTGGATGCTGGAGTTTGAGACCTATGATGGTGGTGGTTGGGCGGGATTGGGGTGGCACGGGCAGTGCGCTGTAGATGGATCTACTTTCCTGGAGAGCTCACAGCCTCTCCTGCCCCTTTCTCTGCAGGGCCTATCTTGTCCCTTCCTATACCTTCGGTGAGAATGAACTTCACAATCAGACGACCTTCCCTGAGGGCACGTGGATAAGGTTCTTTCAAAAACACTTCCAGAACATAGGCAAAAGAATCCTGGGAATAAATTTCTGTACTTTCCATGGCCGAGGCCTCACCCGTGGATCCTGGGGCTTCCTGCCTTTCAACCGGCCCGTTACCACTGTTGGTGAGCTTTCCAGTATCCCCAGACCATATCTGTTCATGATCTTAGTGTCTCCCCAACCCAAGGCATCAGACAACCAGGTCACAGCTGGGATGGGTCATGGGAATCTTAGTGTGGCTGACATCAGGATGTGGTAGGAAACTAAATAAATAGCTGTGGCCATTCATCGATGGGAAAAATTTTTATAGCTGCCGCAAGAGCTGCCCTAAGCTTGTGGGCACTCTTTTGAGCATGTATAGGATCCAAGAATGCAAGCCAGAGTGGGACTAAAACAAGAAGGTGTTTAAAAACAATAAAGAAGGGGGAGGAAACCCAGAACACTGAGTGTCAGTATGTGGCCTCCAGGGGGAATGGATAGTTGGAATTGGTTAAAGTCATATACTGAAACTTGATGTTTGCCTCTTGTCTTTTTCCATAGTTGGTGAACCCCTGCCTATCCCCAGGATTAACAGACCCAACAAGGAGACGGTAGACAAGTACCACAAGCTCTACATCAGTGCTCTGCACAAGCTGTTTGACCAACACAAAGTTGAATATGGCTTCCCTGAAACCCAGGAGCTGACAATCATTTAACTGCAGTCGAGGTCCCTGTTAGCAAATTCCCAAAGTCTTAGGGGAACCCAAGTAGAACCATAGGGGAAGAAGAATTTAGGGAAATGAGAGGAGTTTAACGATGGGAGAGGAGCCCAACCAAGCCAGACACTACCCAATGAATCGAGGCAGGGCAACTACAGCCCCTTCCCAAGTGCCCAGGGAAAGTATGGGGAACAGAATCAAAGGGACAGAGGAGGATTGGGGAGGTCTAGTTAACAGAGGAAGCTGATCTATCACCCCTGCTTATTTTAAGCAGTCTGGGGAGTACTTGGACTCACTGCAGTCAACCATCAGGTGTCAGGATGAAAGCCATTGCTCTCCTGTACCCTGAACTTTGGTGCTCCCACCAGAGTCGAAGTTGAGACTTGGAAGCTTAGCTAAGAGGAAAGATGGTTTGTTTCCTTCTTATCTGGGGGCTGCCGCAAGATAAACCAAGCACCCATTCCATGGTTTCCTGATCCTGCACCCAGGACTCCCTCAGTTATGACAGAGTGCTAGTCTGGCTATACTGTAAAAATAAAGTTCTGATTTTATAGGACAAGACAATGACTTCTTAATTACTGTGTGATTCACTACCAGGCTTTCCTCAGAGCTAAGAGTCTCCCCTGTGGTCTTCAGAGAAATATTTTCCTCCATCTTGTTTTCCCGCCATCCTGGGCCTGGAACCATAGCTGCTTCACGGTGTAGGAAGCAGGAGGCAGAACCACTGGAGCTGGCACGGGTACCCACTGCGTAGCCCACATCTCCTGAGCCCATGTAACCATATTACATCAAAAGAGAGGGAGCGATAAGATCAAGTATCAGCTATAAATTTGCTTGGCACAAACTATTTAGTATGTCCCAGGATCCACACAATAGCTTTCACAACCTTGGTCTCTTAATGCAACACCAGTCCTGTGAGATTAAGATTGCCTTCATATCCAGTGCTCAGTAACTAAAGCTTCTAGAGGTTAAGTGACACCCAAAGCCACATCACCCCAGCTAGAATTAGCATTGCAACCCAGGCCTTACTAATTCCAAACCAAACTTCTGCCCAGTGCATCACTACACGTCCCATTCCCCATTTTCTGGAACCTGCTTCTCGGCCTTGTTTCCCTAAATGAAGTCCATGGCACTCCACCCAAATTAGCTCCCAAGTATGGGCACAAATGATCTGAATTCTGCTCAGAATGGTCCCAGGCTAGACCTCAGAGAAAAGAACTGAGGAGTTTTAAAAACTTTTTTGTGTCAGACTCAACAATACACACTTGTAGTCAAATGATTTTTCATTGAGGATACCAAGACCATTCATTGGGAGAAGGAATTGAATTTTTAACAAATGAAGCTAGGGCAGCTGGATAGTTACATGGAAATGAATAAAGGTAGAACCTTACTTTACACCATTAAGAAAAATTCCCCTAAAATGATTCAAAGGCCTAAGATGAAAGTTAAAGTGAACAAACTCTCAGAGGAAAATAAAAGTGTAAAAGGTCATGATGTTGATTTAGGCAATGTTTACTTGGTTATGCCACCAAGACTGTAAGCAACAAATGAAAAGTAGATAAGTTAAACTCCACAGAAATTAAACACTTTCTTTCTTCAAAGGACACTATTAAGAAAGTGAAAAGACAGTCCATGGAAAGGGAGAAAATATTTGCAAATTATATATCTGATAACAGCCTAAGAGCCAGAATATTAATAAGTCACAGGACCCTGCACCAAGAAGACAATCTAATTTTTCAAATGGGCAAAAAATTTGTCTAGATACTTCTCCAAAGAAGATATTCAAATGCAAAGGTGCTCCAAATCATTCATCATAATGCAATGCAAATCAAAACTGCCAGGAGGGACCAGCGTTGTGGTGTTGTGAATAAAGACACCTCCTGCAACTCTGACATCACATACAGACACCAGTTCAAATCCCAGCTACTCTATTTCCAATTCAGCTCCCTGCTAATATGCCTGGGAAAGCAGCAGAGGATGGTCCAAGTGTTTGGACCATTGTACCCACATGAGAGATCCCCAGGAAGCTCCAGGCTCCTGGTTTTGGCCTGGCCTAATCCCAGCCATTGCGGCCATTTGGGGAGCAAACCAGTCATGGATGAAAGATATTCTCTCTCTTTCCTCCCACCCCCCTTCGTTTCTCTCTGTAATTCTGAATTTTAAACAACAACAACAACAACAACAAAAACTCACCATGATGTCATTTCACACTCCTTAGAAGAGCAATAATGAAATAATCAGACAATAACAACTACTAGTTAATATGTGGAAGTACTTGAACCTTCAGGTGTTGCTGGTGGAAGTCTAAAATGGTGCAGCCAGCTACTTGAAAAACATAAACACAGAGTTACCAGAGGACTCAGCAATCCCGCTCCTAGATACACACTCCAAAATAGCAAACATAGCCATACAGAAACTTGTAACCTCTATGACCAGCACTATGCAGAGCCATCCTATCTCACAGAGGAACTTCCTCAGATTACCCATATGGAGAACCCCCTATTTTGGGTCCTGTTCTCCAACAATCACAGATCTACTCCCCATCTAGGCAGCATTGCCTTATCAAGGATGTTAGCCAGACAGAATCACGCAGTATGTAAGCTTTTGAACTGGCTTTTTGACCAAGCGTAAAGCTGCTAAGTTTTATGGTGGGACCAGTGCTGTGGTGCAGAAAGTAGAGCCACTACCTGGGGCACCGGCATCCTGCATGGGTGAAGATTTGAGTTCTGGCTACTCCATTTCTGATCCAGTACTCTGCTACTATGCCTAGCAGGACAGTGGAAGATGCCCCAAATGCTTGAGCCCTGCACCCATGTAAGAGACCTGAAAAGCACCTGGTCAGTTATGCCCATGTGGGAAGATTCAGCAGATAGAAGATCTCTCTCTCCCTCTCTCTGCCTTTCAAATAAATAAATAGGTAAATAAATAAATCTTTTTTTTTAATTGAAAAAGACCTAGGTTGGTATGTGTCCACAGTGTCTACTTCACTCTTTGTACACTGAAAGACATCTATATTGTTTCCACATTTGAAAAAAAAAAAAACTTTGTTAGTTTTGATGAAATGTAATTTCACTTTTTTAAGGAGTTGTGTAAGTTCACTAGTATTGCTACGTAACAAATTATGACTGCTCAGTGGCATATAACACTAATGTATTGGCTACAGTTCTGGATTCAGAGCATTAAAAAGAGTGCCACTGGGTGAAAATCAGGGTGTTGCTAAGAGTTCATTAAGAGTTCAGTCCTTGTGAAGGCTCCTGGGTTAGAATCCATTCCCTTGCCTTTTCCTGCTTCTAGAATCTGCCCAATTTGCTTTCCTTATGGCCCTCTTCCAGCAATGGCCTCACTCTGACCTTGGCCTCTATTGTCACATCTCCTTGTCACTCTTTGATCTTGCTGCCTTCCTCCTCTTTGTGATTACACTGGGCCCACGTAAGAGCTTCAGGATAATATCCACATCCCAAGGTCTTTACCTTAATCACATTTGCCAGGTCCCGTTAGGTAACGTGCAGCCTCTCAAGTTCTGTGGATTAGAGCAGGGCCATATTGGGTGGCAGGGACAGGGGGGCATTTATTAAGCCTATGACTAAATCTTGTTTCTTTTTTTTTTTTTAAGATGAATTGATAAATTTATTCAAATGGTAGAGTGATACAGAAAAAGGGACACACGAACACACAAACATACACACACAGAGAGACAGAGAGAGAGAGATCTTCTGTTCTCTGATTTACTTCCCAAATGCCTGTAAATTCAGATCTCCCATGAGAGTATCAGAGACCCTAATATTTAGGCCATCATCTGCTGTCTCCCAGATACAGTAACAGAGAGCTGAATCAGAAGCATTCTAGCCAGATTTGAGCCAGGCACTCTGGGATGGGATGTAGATAATCCAAGCATCTTAACCCACTGTGCCACAAGAGCTTTCTTTTGATGTCACAAGTGAACTCCTCACAAAACTAACTTTTCTCCCATGTTATTTTTTCCTATAATGCTTTCAGTTTTACATTGTTCATTTTAAGCCCACGATCCATTTCAAACTACTGTTTTTCTAAGTGTTTTCTATACACTTCTATAATTTCAAATAGTTTTGAAAGTATTTGAGAGGCAGAGAGAGACAGAAATAAAGAAAATGAGAGTTCTAGTCTCCTGGTTCATTCCCCAAAATGTTTTTAAAAGGTCAGGCCTGGGCCAGGCCAAACCAAAAACCAAACTCAATCCAGGTCTCCCTAATAAGAAAATCTCACTGCCTTACAGGGTCTATAGGGGCAGGCAAGTAGAATCAGAAATGGAGCCAGAACTCAAATCCAGGTACTTTGATACGGGACTCAGGTATCACCAATGACCTCTTCACCACAAGACCAAACACCCACCTCAGTAAATTTGTGGTATGTTCAAAGTGCCATCTTAGAGCAAATGAAACCACTGAATATGCTCAGGAGAAGGCCATCAAAGTATTTCATCTCTTTCAAGTATTTTCGTTCATGTTAGGATCTGATCCCAAACAGATAATAAGTACATAAGCCAGAAGAGGAAACTATAGAGTAAAAATATAACTTATAAACAAATATATAATTCACTTAAATAAAGTAATAATTAACTGAATTCAGAATTCCCTTATCACAATGCTCTGCCTCCAAGAAGGGCTTCTCCCAGAAACACAAATTCAGTTAAGTGTTAGGAAGCCTATTCCTATGATATAACAGCGGATCAGACTTAAAATCTTGGATGATCATTTTAGTATGTGCAAAAAAGCATAAGATAAACTTTAAGTTCATTTCCAATTAAATGCTCTTAAAATTTATTTTATTTATTTTATTTATTTATTGAATACAGCTAATTATTTTCAAATTTTAGGCCAAAATTGTAACATGAAACATAAATGAAGGGAATAAAATATGGGAAAGAAGGCAAAAGATAATGGCTCAAGTGCTTGGGCCCCTGCTACCCACATGGGAGACTCAGATGGAGTTCCAGGCTCCTGGCTTCAGCCTGGACCAGT